AGTAGTTTCTTAAGGGTCTGTGTTAGGACCTGCTCCTGATTTGGGACCAGACTCCTGTTTAGGGAAACACTTCAAGTCCTTCAGTCCCAAGGCTTTTTCCAGTACACCCCTGAAAGATGTCCCTGCCACAGAAGCTGTTGACCTACCAGAACCTGGGAATGAAATCTTGTTTAAAGTTAACATAGCATGTGAACCAATGTCCCAAGACCTCCACTGCTGGGGATTTAATAAGAGCAATGCTATTATGGGGGACATTTTACCTCCCTCTCCCTTTTGAAGGGTTTATTTGCATGTTCCTAACAGGTCCTGTTCATTTCTATTTGTCCATCCTTGTTAAACGGGAAATCCTCTGATGTTTTTTTAAAAGCACTCTGCCCCCTCCCATGGTGATTGCCCCAGGGCTCTGGTTTCTGTTGGCAGGTGGAGTACTGCCCCTGTGTGATAGCCAACGACTGCTGGAACCTGCTCATGGAGTTCATGCAGAGCTTCATGGGGAACCACGCCCCCGGCATCCCCTCCCTGTTGGGCAGCAAGCACGACAGCATCTACAGCCCAGCAGACACCGTGCTGCAGTACATGGAGCTCTTCAACAAGATCCGCAAGCAGCAGCAGGTGCCCGTGGCAGGGATCAGGTGAAAGGATTCCCTGCAGCTCACCTGAGAGCCTCCACAGCCTTTTTTTTTTCCACCTGGATCAGGATTCCCTCCAAAACGCGGCACTGGAGGCAGCCAGAGGTTTTGGGTTTTTGCTTTGTGAGCTCTTTGCCCGGGTTCAGAGCCAAGGTTTTGAATGCTGCACGTGTTTCTTGTCATCCTCCTGCCTGGGTTTGCTCGAGCCCGTGGTTCTGGGGGCTCTTTGTACAGTGCAGGGGATTCCTGCTCCTCGTCTGGGGGGGAAAAGGAGGAATTCCAGCCCTGTGCAGGCAAGGGCAGAGTTTCCTTCACTGCCAACAGCTACACGAGAGAGTTTTTTAACATTTTTACTTTTTTTTTTTTTAATGTCTTGTTATCTTTCATCCAAATAAAAAGCTGTATTTTGGGAGGAGATGGAGTCTTTCTGCACAGCGCCGTGCTGCTTGGCATTGTTTGTTTACAGCTTTTGACATTTTCTGTTGCGTGGAGACAATTATTCAGCAGAGTTTTATCTTTGGTTTGGTGCAGGAGCTTTCTACCCCTGAAGCAAATTAATTTCCCTGTGGCAAAATCTACAGGAATTCTTGCATTCTTATTATGGGTGTGTTCTTAGCTTGCCTTGGTTTCTGTTACCTGATGGGAGTATTAAAATCCACCCCTCAGATGATGCTGATGAAGCCTGATGATAAATAAATAAAAAAGCCTGGCAGGAGCTTCTCCTGCATGGCAAGTAGCAACTCCTTTCCCTCAGTGTTTCAGAGGTAGGCACTAAATGTCCTGTCCCTGCACACTGCCTCTCATTTGAGAAGTCCTGGTGATTTAGCAAGGGAAGAAGGCAGGATTTGGGGAATAAGAAATAAAAATTTATTATGAGACATAAGGACACGATACCACTGGAATATGTGGGGTTTTTTTAAGTGCTGATTTATTTTTACAGGAGGGAAAACGGGGACATTGGATCCCTTTTGAGCTATCTGTCTCCTTGGTTTTACTTGTTCAGTATCTATCTGGTTTGTAGCTGTTGTTTTTTCTTCTCCTCCCTTCTTGGTCTCAGCATATGCAGAAATCCCCTCCCTCCTTCAGCCCCCAACCTGATAGATGTTTCCTTCTGAAGGAGTGGGAGGTATGTGGAAGAAGCTGTTTTGTTCCTTGGTTTGCTGACTGGCAGAGAACTCATTCTCTAGATATGATTTCTTTGTGATTATCATTTATACCTGTAAACCTAATTAACTGTTAGGGTGCCTAAAGCTTTTAGTGGGGGCATTTAATCCATTTAATCAGCACTGGGTCCAGAAAGATCTGGTTAATGAGCCATAATAAATGGCATAATGTACCCTAAGTGTGTTAGAAATTCCAGCGTGCTGAATATACTGAATTTTTGCAACTCTTGGCTCAGGTTTATGACAAGCACTAACTTCAATGGGACTGTAAGTTCTCAGTGATGAAAATTCAGCAAGAATGTGACTTGCTGTCGTTCCATGTAGTTAAATGTAGCTGGGAAAACTTAGGGGAACAAACTGCAGTCTTTGCAGGGATAGTTATTTCTGTCCTGTTTCCTGTTTTTAAGTCTTAAGGTTAAAAAGAACCCCCTACCTTTTAATGATCAGATTAGTCATGCTGAATGTTGCTAATGCTTTATTAATTCCCAAAAGATGCGTTCTGTAACCAGAGATGTCAAAACTTCCAGTCACATGTCCTGAAAACATAAAATGTGTGCTGGAATCTCTGGGGACTTCTGTGCTTTTATTAATACATTGTACTGTTCTTAGAGTCATAAAATGGGACCCCTTGAGCTACATTCTGCCTTCAATTACACCCTCACAGCCATTGACGTCAGCGGGTTTCCACGCGTGTACGGGCGGGCAGGATTTGGCCCTTGATGTGCTGGCCAAAAGCTTTTGTTGCTGTGAGTGCATTCTGTGAACAAGGGGATCAGCTGCCCCACATCAGGGGCTGATTCTACCCCAGAGCTTTTTACTTGGTGGAGAAAATGACTCTTTTATGAATCTTATTCTGGCCCCTGCCCAGCATCGATGAGCAGGTTAAGGGGGTTTCCACCATGCGTCTTAACAAGTCTTCAGGGGGCTTTCAGTTGGGTTCAATTAACAAGTTGAGCCAGTGTAATTGAAAACCACCCTAATTTTGCCTGTCAAGGCATGGTCTGGGAGGTTTTCCTGTTGTTCCCCAGTGTTTTCTCAGAGGATGCTAAAGGGAGAGGTGGTCAAGCTTTAGTCACGTACCACCCTGTGTCCTTTTTAATGCTTCTACACCTCTCAAAACCACTGGTGGTGTTGTTGCTTTCCATAAGTTGAAGAGAACTGGGGATTTTGGGGGAGGGTTTCACCCTGGCTTCAGTACAGCTTTTCCCCTCCTAGCTCTAAGTAGAGGCTGGGTGATGTTGCCAGAGTCACTGATGCTTCAGTGGCAGAGTGAGTCCAAGTCTTGCTGCTGCCCTGGGGATACTGTGGGCTTTTGTTCTGTGCTGTGGCATTTTTTATGTGGAAGTACTTACACAGCAGCTGCACCCTGCTAAGCTTTACAGAGAGTGAGGACATCAGGGCCTCGTTAATCTTCAGTTTTAATTCTTGGCAGACATTACAGAGGGCTCACTGCAGTGGGGAGCTGTTGAAGAGTTGAGAGGTGTGACTGGATTTCTGTGTAGGTAGGGGTTCAAAACGGGCCAGGCGCTGTTTCAGAAAAGGTGTAGAGAAAGGACAACAAAGCTCCCAGGAAATGGAATTTGTGGGAAGACTGAGCTGTGACAAGGAGACCGTGATACTGTGAAGGGTCCTTGTGCTCTGGCAGAAGCAGGCAGGCTCCCACCTGTCGCAGTAAACTGCAGTGCTTTGCCTCAAAATTTACTGGGAGAAGATGGGGGAACACTTGTCCCTGTGCAAGAGAATTGCATCTGTGTCATCGCTGACCTGTGCTTCATGTTGTCAAGTGCCACAGGGCCCACGACTGCTGGCTTGTGGCGTTGCCTCGGCTCAGTGCTGTCCACAGAGCAGGACTCACCACTCCCTGCCAGGTCTCCCACGGTACCTGCTCCAGGCTGCAAAAAAAAGTGAGTTGTCCCAGTGGGTGTGAGTGACTCCCATGTGTGGCTGTCCATTGCTGGGGGACAGGTTTCTCCCTTGGCCTCAGTGCTGATGTCCCTTTGTCTCTGAAAAAGTGTGTTTCTATCCCTTCATAGCACTGTGGTGACAAAACCATGACCTGGGGGCAGGTGAATGACCGTTGGCAAAGGCCAGCATGGCTCAGGGCCCTTCTCTGTGCTGCCAGTGGCCCAATGGTGTGCTCACCCCCTCCACCCCGGGGTCCTTGTCATCTCAGGGTCGCTGTGGGGTTCCCAATCCCCATCACCTCAGGGACCCTGTGGGTGCCTACATCCTCATCACCTCAGGGTCTCCATGCGGTGCCCACCCCCATCACCAGGGTCCCTATCACCTCAGGGGCCCTATAGGATACCCCCACCCCCGGCCCCGATCACCTCAGGGGCGCCGTGGGCTATCTCTCACCCCACAGCCCCCTCAGGGGCCTGGCGGGAACGCGCCACGTCCCGCGCTGCCCCTTTAAGAGTCTCTTTGTCTCCGAAACATCCTTATTTACCCTCCTGTGACTCAACCAAACTTCAGGCTGGGATTCACAAAGCCCGG